CATATCATAGCTAACAATTTGTTTCAGTAAAAATTTTACTGCATTTACCAAATTTTGACACAAGTTTTTTTTTTCTCTTAACTTTTTAAAACTAATTTAGATTTTTTCTTCTTTTACCTTTGCTATTCAGCTTCTCAGCAAAGTACCTGGAAAATAAATTTGTGAAAAATTTGAAAATAAGTTAAAATATTGAAATGTAGTTATTTAAAAAGCTGAATGGCAAATAAATAAATAAATAATGACGCTATCTGATTACTTTTCTTAAAGTTTTACTACTGTATACTGAAAAACAACCGTAATTCTCACTCTGGATAAGTATGTTAAAGCACATCCCTATAGTATGATCCAGATGGACAGCCTGCTCTCTCAGTACTCACAGTCATGAGTGGCTCTTTGCAGATGTACAGCCTACTTACAATTACCCCAGGACAGAAAACCCCCAGAAGTACATGCTAACCTTCGAAAAAAAGCACATTTTTGCACTGTATGTGTGCAGTGATCACAATGTGATTCTATTTTTCTTTGTTTACCCTTGAGTGAATATTACTGCAGTGTTAGGAAACATTGCTTGTGGCCTTATCAGAAATAGAACAAAAAACATGAAGAATTATATCAGCCATTACATTATTGCTCAGTACTTCGAAAGCATCCATGAATACGGGACAAGGCTGGAGAGCTGCATTTTCAAAGAGATATCCTCTTTAAGCACAGGACCGGTTGTACTTGGTCCCAAGGGCTCTGAAGTAGTGGTTAAGCTGCCAGTGTGTAAGTTGCAGGGAAAATACGCTGAGGGCCCAGCATACGAGTCGGAGTTACCAAGCATACAACTGGCCAGAGCAGCTTTGCTTCCCTGCAGCAAGCCCCAGCTCAGGCCCCTGAGGATATGCACGTCCCTGGTGCCAGGACCACTCCGAGGATGGCACTTCGCTGGGAACATCTTCTATTTAAATACCAGCCAGGGCAGAGATTTCTTGGTGCCAGGAAAGCCCCCAGTCTGCTCTCTACATAAATACGACTGAATGCAAACAAGATCCCTCAGTGCAAAAGCTCCCCTTTCAACTTCCCTAATTTAGTGCAGTCACTCTTTAGGCAAAACTAAGCACTACATTTTGTCTTTTGCAGACGTTCTGACTAGTCAGCTTCTCTTCCAGTATTATAATAAGTCAAGTACACTCTAATCAGCGTCATGAGCACTTCTAACACTGCAGTTTCTCAATCTAGTTATACCTATATATAGTTCGACCTCAACCAGCTAGGCCTCAGTTAGATTTCTGGTTATACAAAACAAGGCTTTATTCCTCATGCATGTTTATTAATGAGAATGCCTTGATTAGCACTCAAGCATATTCCCCCCATCCCTTATGATGTTTAGATAATGTTGGTTTCATTCTCTCCTACAAACTGGTTATTCTACAAGATATGTTTCCAATAAACAGTTGGCATTACTGCAAACAATTGTCTTGCTAAAATTAAAGCACACACTGAGAAACATAAAAATATCACGGTGAGTGAAACTGTGTTATTAACGTTTGGCTTTCTATCAGTTTTATCGAGAAAATGCCCTAGAGAATACACAAAGTTACTGGAAGCCACTCAGTTCCATTCTGCGTCGTTTCAGCAGAAGAGAGTAACCACAGCTGGAGGTTCCAGGCTGAAAGCTGGGCCAGGGCTGCTGCTAAAGGCTCTGTGGAGGAATGGTGACCTCTACAGGTCCCTTTCTCCTAAGGCCACAACATCTCCCATGTTGATTTAACAATTTGCAAGGTGTAGTTTTGTTTGCTTTCGTCTCTGAGAAATTAAAATGAAGAAAATTACATGTATATTTGATGATGACACACCAACATAAAATAAACCAGTAGACAGGGGCACGTGTTAATTTAAGAACTAAACGTTCATCTTTGAGAAGCCAGAAAACAATACTTCAAAGGACAAGAACTTCAAAGCTCTCTATAACTTCAAAGCACTGCACCGGCATTAATAAACACTTAGGACATGTCTGTGAGGTAGAAAAAAAATTTCCTTTTTTAATGTTGGTGTAAACAGGGCACAGAGATTAAGTGATTTGCCCAAGGACACAAGTTAGTAGCAAAACCGCGATTACAGGTAGGAAACAACTAGCTCAAGCCTCCTTTCTCAGACCAGATAGAGCTGGCTGAAAGCAATGCTCAGAAGCTCCCTATGAGGAAATGCATTCAGCATATGACAAAATACAGACTTTTCCCTCAATGAGTGCTTAAATGGCTATTGTCAAGATTTTTAGGATTTCCTTGTCATGACAATCTGCTCACTATAGACTTTTTGACAATTTTCTTAAAATAGAGCCAGTACATCTCCAGCAAGACATTTCTCTGATGACATTAATGAAGTTGAACTAGCACAAAATAGTTTTTTTCCCTATATCCTTCCAGAGGAAAACACAACATTTTTCCACTGTATAGAAGCTGAGCTGCTATATCCCCACACTGCTGAACACCAACATCCTTAAGTGCTATAGTGCAAAAGCAATAGAAAAGAAATCTATTATTTCCTTATCTTTTCAAAATGATCTAAAAAAGGAATATTCCTTAGATAGGTGGAGCTGAAGAAGCCAGGAGAAATAAAACAGACCTGTGAAGGGCTTAGGAAAACAAAAAAATCACCTTATACCCTTTAGACATCAAGTAAATATAAATGATAATGAAGAAGGCAAAAAAGTTAGCTTCTTCCTCCCTCAAACTTTTTTCTTCTCTTACATCACTAGAAAGATAAAGTTTTGTCCTTCTTATTTTTAATGAACTGCTTCCTGGTGATCCCAGGCATAAATATTTTAAGGTACTTAATGAATGGAGAAGATGTGTGAAACATTAGTGTACTTCCATTCTCTAAAATAAACAGAGTTAATAAGTTAGAATGATATAAATAAAAAGCGTGCTTGAAACAGTTAATTATGAATTGCTTTTCTTCTCATCTGTTAGTTTTTTGCTCATTTTGTGAGGTCATTGTTCCAACAAAGCCTTAATTACCAGTTAAAATGATAATGAAAAAAATAAAGATTTTAAAATATAATTTCTAAAAACAAATCCATATAACAAACTTCCAAAATTTTGACAAATACTATTCTTGATGAAGAACAAAATTTCTTCATAAATCATACATGTAAAATGAAGAACCTTTTTAAAAATCAGGTAATTACATTTTGCAGACTGCGATTTGCACCTACTAACAAGTAATTTGCTGCATATTATTTTCCCAAGGTAACTTTCACAGTGACTCTGAAATATATTGCAGACATATATTGTTCAAATGTTCCTCCTCAAGGCCAGCTAGGAGTACTGCACCCTTTTTTTGTACTGTTTACCAGTAAAATTTCTATATTCAACATATTAGAAAATTACTGCCATACCAGACCCTTAAAGAGCATCACAATTTCTGTTTTCAGTGTTTTTAAGGAGTTCCAAAAGTCTTTGTGATTTTTATATTGATAGTGCTTAGCACTCAAATAACATTTTTTTCTGTTAGAACTCAAACTTTCTTTTAATGGTAATCATATATTATCTTCTGTATTATAATATTGGAACAATACTAATGAAGGCATAAAGATCCCATTTCAGCAACTTTAAGTAACAACTAAGAATTTGCTGAAGACATGGATACATCTTTACAACTTTGCTGAGGCAGATCTGAAGACTAAATAACTTGCAGATCACTAACTGAGTCATTAACAGATTTGGGAACACAATTCAGACCCCCTGACTCCTTCCAATAAACCATGGTTTTCCATGTTATGTGTTAGCAATGATTAACTAAATGACAAAGGTTTTGCTATTCTTGGTGTAGTGCTCCTTTTGCATTTTAGACGAATTGGGCTCTCTAACGGGCTGCCAAATTTACTGACTTGGTAACTGGCTAGTTTTCAAAATATGTATTAAAAATCTTGCCTCTCCTGACTATTTCTTCAATAAATCATGTTTCAAAAAGCATAGCTTTCAACATCACTTTAAAAAAATGCTTAAATAAAATCAGGCTTTCAGCTCATTTTATTTTAGCTTTGTCACTAGCCTTTTATAGGATTCTGTCATGTCAACTTACCTCTCACCTGATTTCCAATGATTTAAATGATTATTATTGTATTTGCTTTTCTCCATAAGGAATTTTAATACCAGTAATTAGGAACTAGTAATAGCTAAATAAAAGGTTCTACACCCATACAGAAGCTTATATATATTCACAGTTTTGAAGCTTTGATTATTTATAGTTTAAATATTGCATACTGAATCATACCTTGATCCACACCTTTCGTGAAGGAATTAAGCTTCAGACAGACTGTAGGTTATATCAGGAATGGCAAGCTAAATGCCTTTAAAGTTAAATATACTTCATAGATTGAAGTTGTAACCCATATTAGACAGCCTGGATCCCTTTTTATCACCAGTTGCTTTATACGGTTTATTTTTATCCAGAGCTTTGTTATTATTTCATTACATTATAGTGCTTTCACCTACGTAGCTGGCAGTGTGTACTCTTTTATTTAAGACTGTACAAAGTATGCAATCATAGCAACAGTAACTATGCTGTCAATTTTCTTTTGTCATATTTAATAGACTGGTCACACAGGCACCAACAAAAACAGCTTGCACAGAGGAACTTGACAAACCAATACCAGGAGGTACTCAAATATTAGCTTACTAGAAGTTTTTCTCCCTAATTTTCCTATAAATCTGTAAGAATTCTATTGTGTGAAAGATCTTTCCATATTACAGAGTTTTTATTTTGTTATTGAACTTCGGTTGTTGCTAAGGGAGAACAAAGAAGATAAAGGACTTCTAACCGGACTGGAAAACTAAAGGTGAGGCAGATTTGATTTCTTCCTCATTCTTTAAAGATCAGTGAACTACAATGGTTGCTGATTCACAGTTGTGTAAAAAGGATTTTGTGAAATGATCTGATCCCACTTTCCTGTTGCCTATTTACTTCAAACATCAAGTAATAGCTCGGTTCATATTTTGAAGATCAATATCATCATGCATTCTACCAGCCTGTTTACCAATCCATATGCAATTGAAGTCCTTAGAACTAAAAAGGAAGAGCTAGTAGAAGGCATAAACCATCCAGACAATCTTCTGAACTGGCTGATAGACAATGGCATTTTTACACCAGAAAAAAAGATAGTCATGACTTTCTACACAACACGAAAAGAAAAGAACTCTCGAGTTTTAGATATACTGATCTCTCATGGTGAAAGAGCCTGCAGGCTCTTTTTTTATCCATGTTTAAAACAAGTGGAGCCAAAGCTTTATAACAAGATGAGAAAATATGTCAGTGAAATAAACGAAAGTATCAGAGATGCTAGAAGACAACTGGTAGGGTATTTACTTGAAAAAGATAAGACTTGGCTTGAAAACAGCGGTGAACAGCAGCAAGAAAAAAAGGTGTGTCCTAGAAGAAAAAGACAAGACCGGTCTATTAAGAAGCAAGGAAAAGAAACTGAACTTCCAACAGCAGCAAAACCTAGAAAAGACCTTTCTGATATCAGCATCTTTGATGCAGCTGCTAAAGGCTATCTTTCTGAGTTAGAGAACGCATTGAATGATAATGATATTAATGCACTAAACTCTACAAGTGAAACACTCCTGCATGTGGCAGCTGCTAATGGACATCTAACAATAATGGAATATTTGATCAGAAAAGGTATTAAGGGAGATGTGAAGGATAAGAAAGGAAGAACACCACTACACAGGGCTGCTGAGAAAGGCCATGATGATGCAGTTAAAGTGCTTCTCCGATGTGGTGCCAATATGTACAGTCTGGACAAAGAAAGCAAGACACCACTGCATTTGGCCGCACAGAAAAACCACAGTCACATATTGAAAACACTCCTGAGAGAAGAGGCAAGAAGCTACAGGAATCAGCACAACTTTTTGCACATGGCAGCTCTTAAAGATGAAAGCAGCCTGGCAAAAATGCTTTTAAAGAATGGCGTCCCTGTTGATGGAAAGGATGAAAAAGGACAGACGGCTCTCAGTTGCGCTATTTCTCGAGGGGCTGAAAATACTGTCAAAGCACTGCTAGAAGCCGGAGCCAGTGCGGATTCCAAATGGATTCCAAGAGCCTTCAACAGCCACCACCCATCCATCTTCAAAACACTGCTAGAATATTGCAAAGATTTGTCATCTAACACGATGGAATCAGCTCTTTTTAAAGCTGTACAGAAAAATCTGCATAGTATTGTAGCAGCTTTGGTTGACAGAGGCACAGCTATAAATGCCTACAATGAAATGCAGTATACTCCTTTACTCCTAGCATGTGAAACGGGCAAAACTGAATCTGCAGAAGTTCTGATTGAAAAGGGGGCTAACCTCAAAATAAGGACTCTTGCTTCAGACACCGCCTTGCACTTGGCAGTTCAAGCTGGGGCCACTTCTATCACAAACCTGCTTCTGCGCAAGGGGATGGAAGCAAACATTATGAACCAGGCAGGAGAAACCCCACTCCATGTTGCTGTCCTTCATAATAACGGGGCCTTAGTTAGCATTTTAGTTAATGGTGGGGCCAAAATCAACGCTGTCACTAACGAGTTACTTACTCCCCTGCATATTGCAAGTCAAACAGGTAACATTGATGTTGCTCAACAGCTGTTGAACTACAAAGCCAATGTTAATGTTAAGGATAAGCAGTCAAAATCACCTTTACATCTTGCTTCTGAAAGGGGAGATAACACAATGGTGGAGCTGCTTCTGAATGCTAATGCTGACCCCAACGCAAGAGACAGAGAGAAAAAGACTCCCCTGCACATTGCAGCTATGAAGGGACACCTCAGTATCATTCAAGCTCTGTTAGCCAAAACAGGCAGAACTGGAATTAAGGACATGGATGGATGTACTCCAATGCATTATGCAACCATCAAAGGAAACACAGAGATTGTAAAAAATCTTCTGACATCAGGGGAAAATAAGAATATCAATGATAGAAATATTTGGAGAAAGACTGCACTACATATTGCAGCGGAATATGGACACAGTGACTTGATTAACCTATTACTGAGCCAAGGGGCAGCCATTAATGCCTTAGACAGCAGCAAGGACACTCCACTGCATTGTGCTTGCAAGGCTGGTCATTTGAATGCTGTGAATTCCCTTGTAAACTGGTCACAAGGAGAGAAGGCAAATTTACAAGCTGCTAATAGTCTCAAAAAGACCCCACTGCAAGTAGCAGAGATGTACAGAACAGAAAATCAGGCTCAAATTGTAACACTTTTGAAAAAGAAAATGTTAATAACAAAATGAATATATAAAGCAAAGAATCCCAAATGCATTTATATGGAAAATTACATTTAAAAATTATTACTTAATGTAATTTGGATAATGCTGCTGTCCAGTATCACTTCACTGGCAGAATTAAGTTAATAATCAAAAGTGGCCAAGGAGAAAAGAACCTTAAAAAGTTGTCATTCTAAGTATTGATTCCCTCTTGCATTTCTCACGTCTCCTACTTGGACCCTCTTTGAAGCACTAGTTTTAAACACTGTAGGTGACCTACTCTAGTATAATCAAGACTTCTAATAAAAAGTGATAGAAATTCGCTTCTGATATTTCTGTGAACAGCAGCTTGTACGGATAGCTTAATTGAACACTGTTAAAATCACATTTGTACAAAGCCAGCTATTACAAATAAGCACCTATCTGTATCCAAGAGGATACAAAGCACAAAAACCTTGGAGTTCATACCACTGCAGTTAGTTTCAGCCCTAATTGCAGGGCGCTGCCCACGGGGATGGATCATGTCCTCCCTTGCAATCTCATCACACACACAGCACTCCCCCTGCTCTGGCAGCCCTGCTCCAGGCTGGATGGGTGACATGACCCAGCTCCTCCCACAGCTACAAGTGGAGAAGGATGGTAGCAGGCGGTTGAGCAGCACGGTCTCTTTGATGTTAATTAACTATTAGCTTGGCTTATGCTGATTACACTATCGCTCTCTGGGGCCTCTGGGGGTCCGAAAGCATGGATGTCCACACGCACATCCAATAGACCCTCACCCCGGTAAATCCAACTGTGAGGTTCAGTATAAACCAACCAGGACAGGAGCCCAGGTCCACAACGTTGCCAATTCAATTCTGCTGACTTCAGCACCCACAGGAATCTCCTATATGGACATTCAAATTTGGGTCGGCCCTTCTTTACATATCTCTGTTACACGCTATCACACGGCATTTACATATCCTAGGACTAAAACAAAATAATTTTCATTCTATCTTTCATTGTACCATTTGGTTACTTTCACATTTTTCCATAAGGATAACGAAAAAAAAAAACCCTTTTATTTACTGTTCTTTAATTTTACTTTCAAATTAATTCCACCACATAGATTAAATGTTCAGAATGAAAAAGCTGGAAAAAAGAAAAAAAAAAACACTGTTCATTGGTTAAGAACAAAGTACTTGCATTTTAATCATTTAAAAAAGAACCTCTTAGGTTGAGGAAAGTCACTCAGTGGTCATATATTCTTCATAATAATAACTGACCCCCACAGCTCTTTGCTTTTCACCCTTCATCATGACT